GATGCTATTTTATTTGGGTTCTTATCGGGAAAACGTGCCGGTCGGAAAAGTTGATTTGGCAGATTGTGGCGGTCAGCAATTCTGCGTGCCGGTCGCGCCCGACCGGCAGCGGCAGATCCCTGATAATTTAATGCTCTCACTTCAAATTCAATTTACTTTGGGGACATTTCTACCCACTGACACCCAGCTGACCAGGCTGTCAAAATCCAACCTTTGTCAATACGTGGCATGGAGCCCGTTGCCTTGCTTGCTCTGTATAGGTGGTTGGTCGGTCTAGCGGCTTGCCTGCAGTTCACAACAGACAAGTTTGTTGGTCTTTTAGGGCAGATGTTGTCACTAATGGTTTCTTGTAGGGATTTTGCCACTTTTGAGAATTTTCCAGCTTGATGAAGGGGTTGCAAGTTGCTTTTGATGAGTTTAGATGTCGGAACACGTTTGACTCGTAGGCATTGCTCTGAATTTTTTTAATACATGTTAGCCAGAAATCCTGCTTGGGAAGGGCAAAAGATTGTCTTAAAGGAACCAGGAAATAGAGATATTTTCATAAATTTTCCTAAAAACCCTTGAAATTGCATCTTTTGGTTTCAATTAACCTTATGTTGAATTTTTGTTTTGCAATTGTAACCATATTTTGATGTTTTTATGCTATTGCGTATTTCCATATTCATGAGCAGAACTATGATGTCATCCAAGGCACTGAATCTCGATATTTCACGGATTTGTACACAGATAATTTCTTGATTTTTTTAACCACTGCTTTGGCAGATTTTATTTTCTTTGCCAATTTTTTGCTGTGTAAGTATATGGCAATAATCCAGCGAGGCTGGAATTGTTTGAGTCGGCTTTCGGAAACAAATTCCCATTGTCAAGGGGTTGAAAATTTGCAGCATGTGATTTTTCTGTATTGTCATTTAAGACAGTTCAAGTAACTGCCTGCAAACGGACACCAAAACACAAAACAACTCTCGGGTTGAGTTTTGCAAAATTTTATTTTGCTCTTGTTCATTTCTCCAGTTGCATGAACCCTAATTTTTAGCACCATACCTCAAATCTATTAAAGCAAAGCATTTGCCACATAAGAATGGTGAAATTCTACAGCCTGTTTGCATAAATGCTAATAAATGAATAGATTACTCTTACTTTAGGTGAAGTGCCTTTTATTTTTTTTTTCACAAACAAATGCCACTTCTTAAACACAAGTTTAAGAATCATTGGAGCTATTTACCAGTCTCAAAATGGTCACCATTGGAATAAGTAATTCTCCATTTTGGTCCAGAGTTACAGCTGCTTCATGCATGCTGCAAAAATGCATTCGAATCACCCATTCTCGTACAGAGATTAAGGGAGTTCAGTGTCATGCAAATGTATTTACCGCGCAAATCAAATGCAAAGTACAATCTTTTTGGTTTTACTTGCTCTTGAAAGTTCTCGGCTAGAAAGTCAGACTAATGCTCGTCTAAGTAGCCCAGCTTGGCCAAACACAAACACACAGATGTGGCGTGACGAGCAGTTTATGGGACACCGTTTCTATTTTTGCAAATATGGCATATGAGAAGTTCACAACCACGAAACGTATACGACAAAGATACTAAAGAAAAAACATATCACGCAAAACCAGGTCTGCATATGGCCTACTTAAAGCAAACCAACATGGGCACTTCAGATTGTAAATTGCACATGTATGGTTTGATCTCCAATCCAAATGGCGTACATGTACTCACAAGCTTAATTCATTCTAGACGTAAAAACCAATGCTTAAATAAACTCGCTGTGCAACTTACACGTATTTATGTTGTTGCTGCAGTAACAAATACCTTCCTGAAAATGTAGCTTTTAGAGTTAAAAAAACAAAAGCATGCGTTATTTTCTTAAGCCACTCCCATTTTGCAAACTTCTGAACAGAGTAAGGGACTTACATCATCAAAATACATCAGGTGCATGTACGAGTAAACAAAAGAGATATTTAACTCAAATATTAGTTGAAGCTTAAGGCACAGTAGACGCTGGTTTGAATGGCAATATTTGCATAAAATTTCCGTCAACTGACACAGGGTTAGATTGGAATAAAATGTACTTTAAATTACTATTGTTTTATAAGGCACTATTGTTGGTTATTACCATGGGCAGTCATTGTCAGAGTTAATGGAATTGTGAAATTATTACAGGACAATAAAAATCAACAGAAGGAGTGTTGTCACTCACGTTGAAGAGTTTCTTTTTTGGTAATATGTTAATTTGTATGGAAGAGTATCAGGATTTAACAAACCTTTCATGCCGGAGGCCTATGCATTATTGCCGAACAACTGGAACAGTTCATGTTGTGGCTCCAAAACTGTACATGACAGGAATCTCATTAGCAATAACTACATGTACTTGTACATTATACAACTTACATTAAACAAGGCATTTGTGCCTTCAACCATGCAACAACACAACCAAACCTACCCAAAAAATCTTCGTTGACCTACATGTACCATGATCAGTCACATCTATTTACAATCAACAAACAAGGCCACAAAATGTCTACAGACGTAACTATATCTCATGGATTATTGCTGCGTTTGTTATAATCTTGTCTATTACTGGGTAGCACTATGGGTGCCTAAACTACCTTCACGGAAAATCGTACATATCTATCATACAATTCATACAACTTCAAATATCACAACAGGTTAAATGTGAAATTGCAAATGGAGCTGTTTGTTTTCAAACCTGAAGTCTACATGTACCTGGCTCTGCTCGGTAAACCCTGCAGTACGCTTTTTCAAAACATTTTGTTTCAAAGTTACGAAAGCTGCTGCGCCAAACGTCCAACGACATTTGGCTGAAATCATCTATGGCCTTCCAGCTATGCCCTCAATTCATGGTTCTACGTGCTTCTGGCTTTTTTTAACACAAAAAATACAAAATGCAGGAATGAAGTTAATTTAACAGTGACCAATTGATTAATAGAGAAATATATACAGAAAAAGTCCACAGCAAGAAATTTCACTTTCGAAAATCAGGAAAATTTTTGTCCGAGCAACCTTTGTTAAGTGGGGAAGGTTTTTTCTTAAAGGTTCAACCCCAAAAAGGCAACTTGTTTGTCACACATTTGTCAGCTAAGATCAACATTTAAGTTGGTCCAACAATGGATCCCTACTTACAGTTTAATATAAAAAACCTTTGAGCTACATTTTCAAATATGACAGCAAAAACTGGAAATTTCATTTTAATAAAAGTTACCAAGTATCCACAGTATAGCAGTAGATCAAGCACTGCTCTATTTGCCGTAGAACTTCTTGTTTAGCAGGAAGATGAGCAAGTTGACGTTAATCTTGGCTCTGCCAAACATGTTCATGACTGCAGCCCCCTCGTACTGCAGTTGTAGAAGATCCTACAAGGAACAAAAAAGGGGAAAGGGAAGAAAGCTTCATGACACAATCATCCAAGAATAGCATAAAAATAGTTGTTGAGGACAACAAACTCTGTGAAAGTAGTTCACAAATTGAAAGAATGACCTCATGGAGTTACTTCAGTCTCGGAAATCAAATAAACAAGTGGCATATCACTAGATTAGTTTTCATTAACCAACTATCTACTTCCTCAAATTCAATGCCAGAAGGGCTACAGCGAACTGAATAAGTCTTACATAGCCACTCTCGACCTTTTATGACCAAGAGGAAGACCTGAATCAGAGGTTCTAGTCAGGTCCTTTTCCATAGCCAGATGTTAAGGCCAGAGAAGCCTATATGAATCCTGACAAGGCCGAAAATTAGCCCAACAAAAATGCCAAAGCCAGAAATCAGGCTTCAGTTGCATTTTTACCTGGAAGATGATTTGCACGGTGTCCATCTTGACTCCCAGAAACTTGGCCGAGATGTCAAACCCACCCGGCACGGCTGACAGCGGTCTGATCTCAAACAGCACATTCTTGAACCTGAACGGCAGGAGAGCAGCAAGCCAAGGCATGACCCACACATCACAACACACGAGGACAGACTGCAGTAGATTAAGCACTCCCAGATCCCACCCCCCAAGATACTCACCCCTCCCCAGTGCCTCTTTGAGAAAAAAAAAATCTCCCAAAGTGCTGCCAAAACACAGCCACATTTTCCAAAGATGTGCAAACTAAAAAGCCTCAAATACACTTTAAACAATTTCCTCCAGTCATTTAGCCCAGTGACTCAAACCAAGATCAATAATGTACTGCCAACCCTCCGGACAAGGTTATCAATCTCTGTATACCACAAGAGCTGCCTTATTTGACGATACTTTCAAAAGTGCCCAGCAGCGCCAGGTGCACCCGTCTTTGTAACATATCCCAGGCCGACAGGGGCATAGGCAAAGGGTTTCAGAGAGCAGTGGAGAAGGGCTGCTATGATCCATGACAGTCCACTTACTGTGATTCTTCCAGTCCTTCGATCTCCAGAATGACCCCTTTCTCGTGCAGTCTGGCAGCACTGTAAGTTACTCCTGCCGACTTCTTTTTGGTCTCAGCCTTTGAAGACCTCCTGTGAGCAAGACAGGTAAGGGTTTTAGGGATAACAAAAAGCTAAACACCTTTTCTCAAAAATAACCTACATGTATCTAAACCTTGACCTTATAGGTCTCCTAAACAAACGTTTGGAGAAAGGAGTTTGAAAAATATTTGAAAAATATGGGAATAGGTTGTTACCACCTTCAATTTGGACTCTTGTTTTACAAAGCTAAGAAACAGTTTGTCTTCAAAGAAGAAACAATTTTGTTTCATATATACATGTAGTATCAAGGCTGAGGAAAAATGATGGAAAACGCCCACAACATTTTAAGATCAAAATTACCATGTTCTCAGATTAACACCATGCTCAAGACACCAAGTGGGTGCTTTGGAAAACTACATCTGTCTAGTTCTTGGAGAGCCAATTCAATTCAAACAATCAAAGCTCCCACTTTACTACTAGTTACACATGCACATTGCTAGCAGTAAATTAGCCAAGACTGTGACACAACCTATGGGATGGTCTGGACTCTTCCATAGACTTGCTGTGAGCTAAACAGAAAGTGCTAAGAAAAGCAACGTGTAACAAATGGCATTTTGACGGGTAACCTGTTCTTACTTAGCAAGACCTTTCTTCACTTAGCAACCTTGTTGCAGACAGGGCGTGTATTTTGGTGGTTATGATCAATTGTGGTTCTTGTCGCAGTTTGAGCATTGTGGCAATAAGTCGTTGCAAGAAGCCTGTAGCCTTATGGTTCTGTTCGCTGTAGCCCGACATCAGAGAAGTCTGTTTGTTTCATCAATGACCACCTTCCCCCCCCCGGCTTTTGTGACAGCAGATCACTCACTTTGCCTGCAGGTTGTCCAGACAGGTCCGGATGTACTGATTGTAATAGTCAGTCTGCTCTTCGTAGAACGTGGCCTTAGTCTCCAGGGCATTCGTAGTTCCTTTCATCTTGAGAATGTCCTGCTTCCTGCGTTGTCGGTAGCGTCGCTGGTTGCGAATATCCTTGACGGAATAAGACACACAGCAACGATTTGAAAACAGGCCACTTCTGACATTTTGGTGGGTCATTCAAAACCCTCTGCCCTAGTTACAAGAAACCGACAAAATTTGACATGACTTCTTAAAAAGGACACGTGAGAACTGCTCTCCAGCTGTGCTTGAACTATTCAACAAAAATTAGTTTCATACGTGATACAGAATCAGTCTAGGGATGCTTCATTCATTAACATGCCAAAGCAAGGTTTTCAATCATTTATTGGGTCATTTATTACGGCACGCTGGTATTAAGTAAAAACAAAATATGAATTCAATTCTTTTATTTCTTTTAAATATCAACATTGTTGCGAAAGAGATAAATCATTTGACTGATCCATTTTCTGTACCTGTGCGATGGCATTGACCATGACCTGGTAGTGGTCTTCACTGTCCACTTTGCCCGCCTTCTCAAGAATGTCCAGGCTACGTAGGATCTTCTCTTTCTTGGAGTTCAAAGGTAACCTGAAGACAAAAAATAAAGGGCATTGTTTTGGTGGAAGGTACAGCTCTGTAGGGATCAACCGGGCAAACTACATTGGACAGCACAAGCAGCGCCACTACTGTTGAGATTCAAGCTCTGTATCCGGATAAAAAGGGTTACTAGTTATGGAAAAGGGGTAAAACTGCCGGGCCTGTTGGGGTATGAAGGCTGGGGTACTGATTGGCTAAATGAGTCAGTTTGGTGTTCTGACAGCACAGGCCAAAAATGAAACTTATCTTTGGTTATTCAGGAACAGCAAGACATGCCCGAGGTTGGCCTAATCAGCGCGGCTGTAGCTGACTCGCATGCTCTGAATGCATTCACCGTGTCCTTTGTTCTTAAATGGTATGATATTATTAGTATTGATATAACTAATTGGCTCGTTGGGAATGAGGGCTGAAGTTGAGGTCACATAGCAGGGCAGTGGATGGCAGATAGCAGACAGTTGAAACTTGAGATTACTACACTAGGGTGATTGCCATTTAAGAACTAGATGCTCAGCAACACTGTTTGCCGCTGCCCCATGATTGGACCAAGATCGTTTTTCTGACAAAAATGCAATGGGGATGGGTGGGGGGCACCCTTGGCAAAGTTGGGATGCAGGGAGGTGGTGCTATGCTCCATACTTGCTGTCATCCATGGCTGAGGTGTATCTGGTCAGTTTCTGGCTGCTCTCTGCCTTCTCATCCTGCTTGACTCTCTGCTCCAGTAAGGCTGAATGCTGCTCCTCCTGGTAACACCGAAAACACCAACCAAAAAACAATCACAGACCGTGTGCCAAGTATTTGCAGCGCTAGATACATGTACTTTGGTCGTGTGGCAGACTGTCCACGCACAAAGGCAAGCCAAATTTCCACTTAATACTGGAAATATCAATGCATGCAATATTTTCTATCAAATGTAGCGAGAAATTTTTGGTTTTGCGTGATAGCCACAGTTGGGCTGACGAGGTGAGCTCGGTAGTTTTGCCAAGCAGTGAGCATGAATATACTGCCATGTAAAATGTCACAGGGCACACTGTCTATTGCCCGTCACACCGGCATTCTCAATTAACCCTAACAATTCCAAATCCAATTCCAATATGATTTTACATAAACCCTAGGGGGTTAGGGTTAAAAACATCTCATCAAGAACACAAGTGTTCAGAGAGAGCATGATTATTCATCAGAAAAGGGAAGAGGAACCCAGGCATACTATTGAACAACTGGAATGACAATTTTTCACCTGTTCGTCTGTTGCAGGGCTTTTCAGGATCTGGGTGACATTGTCGCCTGACTGAAAGCGAATCACATCAACCAACAGTCTCTTGGTTCTGAAAACAAGTGGAATAAAATGGCACAGGAGTGAAACAGGAAGGAATGAACAACCAGCAATGTTTGAATAAGCAAGGATATCCACATTTAAACTGATAAAGCACAGTGGCAAGAAGGAAGAAACAAGAATCACTTTGAACAAAAATTCCTTTGTTGGGTGTGTTCTGTTGGTACCGGTAGTTGGCTTATATCAGATCGCATTCATGGTTTTGAGGATGCTAGGGACATTTCAGGGCTCTGTTGAGACGAAAATAAATATTCTCAGAGCTCTGTTCTCATCAACAAAGTTTGAGGAATAATTTTTTACACAGGGAATTTAGTCGGGAAATCAGAGGCCTGTGTTAAACAAAGTTGGTATCACAGGTCGTTTTCAAATTGCATGTATGAAGAGATGTTTATCGGGATATGTCATTAGGAAAGTCTTCAAAAGGGATGGTGGAGGGGACCTCATATCTAGCTAACAGGACACATCCGATTCCTTACTAATTCTTCTAAAGTTCAAGTTTTTCACAGACTTCATCGACCTCAACCCGGTAAGCGGCAACTTTCTACTTACTTGATGAAGAGCCTTTTCTTGTCACTCTCGTCATCCTCTTGAAGCTCAAACTTGTTGGTCAGGGTGAGTGATATTTCTGTCTTGGCCATGCTGGCCAGGACAGCCTCGTACTGAGCATCACCTGGCTCACCCGGTATCTCACCTGCAAGATTTAACAGGTTAACAAAATGACGCGCACTTGTTGAGAGGGGATGAAAATGGGGCACAGCATGAATGTCCAAGATGCGTAATAATAATGATAACAAGCCATCATTCACCATCAAGAGATAATAACCAAATGTTTTGAAGACACCGATTCTCAATGTTAATTTGCAACAGTCCCATGCTAAGATGCATACTGAGTCCTACACCAACATGTATTTTATCACTTCACTCACTATGAAAATCCATTTAAAAAAAACTGACTCAAATTTTGAGTGTATGGAACATTTCTCTAAAAAAGATTTTCAAAAAAAGGAACTTTTTCAAAGGTCAACTTCAAAGGGAAAACACAGACATGCGTATTTCTGAGTCACAGGTTTCACAAGACCAAATTTGACCTCTGACCCACTCATCCCTGAAACCTCCTCCCCTCCCTTTCTTGCCAGGCCTCATGCAAACAGCATTCATTCCATTCCATGCAGCAACACTACCTCTATTGAACAGACTGAATGCTTGATGGTACTTGCAGCTCATCTTTGGACCCATATACACACCTACAGTGTTTACAACCGACCAACACACACAGTGACAAACCAAATACAAACAATTGCTATTCATACTGCAGCCGAGTGATTATGATGGATTCAATCAAAATTATAGCAGTAATTGTATCAAGCCGTCCTCCAACAATCACCTCTGAACAGAATGGTCAGTGATAAAGACATGATAAAATCCTCATGCCATATTTCCAACTTTTTCCAACTTGTTTCAGCTTATCAACAATGAAATGCTATCACTTTGTTAATTATGTCATAGCTATCTTCTTGTTAATGTTCTTCATGTATTGTTAATGACATTGTATCTTTGTGTCATATTTATAATAATTTTATTCTATTTTAATGCCATACTACCATTTCAAACCTTGTAAATTCAATTGTAATTCAGCCTTTTGGCTGTACAGATTGAATATAACGTTAACCCTTAAACCTAAATCAAAGTAATTTTTCTCTCATATCCAAACCCATCAGGTCACTTTGCCGTGTTAGGCCAATAGAAACAGTGCTCGCTTGGTATGTTCAATGTCAACGAATGCTGGATAACTGAATGTACAGCTATTTGAAATGCTTGCACAGAAATCTTGCTGGCCCTAAGACTCTTATCTTAGAATTGGCTACGTCATAGAGTACATTACAGCAAAACTTCCAACACTTTTGAAATTCCTGAAAAACGAAGTCCACCTTGTCTGCACCAACAAATAAAACTTCCTATAGAACATCAACATTTTTGTCAAGATGGGATAGACCAGAGGAACATGAAATTAAAGAACAGTGTCTCCTTGAATTAAGGCCACTTCATACTTAACTTGAATAAAAGCAATGTCAAAATATGTTAACCCGTTAACGCCTGGATTTTTTGTTACCATGACTGCTGGACTGCGGTCTGCACAGAACGCAGAGCCCTAGCCAGCAGCAGGCCCACATTGAAACTGCAGGTGCAGGATGAAGAGAATGTATGTGTGGTATGCACTAATCGTCCCATTGAACTGCGGCTATAGCAGTCTCCCGGCGTGAAAGGGTTAATTAATCTTCTATTCTGCTATTTCACAGCAGAAAGTTTTGCTCTTGCTGCCCAGACCTAGGCAACTAGTCTCCAAACAAGCATCTTTTCTTCTTACCCAGGATGTCTTCCGGTGAGGGCACTTCTCCTAAATCCTCTAACAGCTCGTGTAGGGGATCATGAGGATCTAGGGCTAGGGACTCAAGGTACTCCACTAACAACTGAAAAAAAAAAGCAAAACCTGAACGTGAGAAAGTTACTTTCCCTTCAGTCACAATGGATGATTCTACAAAAGTGATTGTGTGGACTTGTAACACCAGCAAGCAGGATAAGTGTTTGCTGCTCTTGAGCGAGCAATTTCATGAAACTGTGTTTCTCCATATACTTGCCTTGAGAGAACCTCACTTATTCTTGTTTACCATCATCTGCACAGAAATGTAGCCATTGAACAGTGAGTTCTCATGCAGGATGCTACACATGGTTAGTGCAGTAAGCCAATGGCGGAAACCCAAACCACACAATGTGATGTGCCATTCAGGCTGGGACCCAAGGTACTGTACGTCCCAGAATCCATCCCACAGACAAGGGAGCCTTGAAAAAAATGCCTTTTTTTTCTGCAAAGTCCAGGCTCAGATTAAAAGCGCACCTGGAGTTAATAACAAACGGTGTACTCAATCCATCGCAAGTCCCTTTACAAGTCCAGTCAGAAGTAACAGGGTAGTCTATCACAAAGGAATGCTTCTGCAACAGTTCAATGAAGAGCCTGTAGTTTGGCCTAAGACTGGACAACTTGTGATAGACTTGTGACTCGACTATGACACAGATAACCAAATGTTTTTATCAACCAGTTCCCTAAATATGAGCAGAAGTACAGAAACACGCGTACCGGGGTAAGCTGTTACATACAACACAACAGGTTGTGGGAGAGGACGACATGTATGTGCTGCATACCGTCTCAACAGCAACATGGCATCATAGCATATTTAACACTGCTGCTGTTTCTTTCTAATGGGACAGACATTGTGCACTGTACAGACTTACAGCATGTGTGTCGATAATCTCTTTGACTGACATGTACACAATTGGCTTGCTTGGGTTGACAAAATCAGAGTACTCGTCGATATTGAAGCGCTCCTCTGGCTCGGGTACATCGCACACCTTCAACAGGAAATCCCTTACGAGGAGAGACATTATTACACAAGGCCATCAGATCAAAGGCATGGAAAAATGTTCCAAACAAAAGTTTCCAAATTAATGCATTCTAATTCTGAACAATGTAAGGAATTTCTTCATTCAGGTTGTACTTAGGTAGAACAGGGTTTACATGTGAAAGTAATAGCATTGTATTCAAGAAGCAGAACTCTAACAAAATTTTTATTCTTTGGAGAGACAATTGGAAAAATGTTCTTTACTGCATCTGGTAAATAGGGCCACATTTTCTGAAATGGTTCATTATAAGCACATTGCACTCCCCAATGGAATAAAGAAAATATTACGCAGTGTGTATTTGTTGACCAGTCAAAAAACTAAAATCTAAAATCATACTAACGCTCAGTTTTCAAAGATCAGTTCATGTAAGTTTCAACTTAAAAACCTTTTCTTTTTATCAAGTTCACTATGCCATTTGTTCCTGTTTGTTGTGACTGCAAGTAGGAAAATAAATGTCTCATTAAACTCAAATTTGAAAAAGAAAAGGTGAGTTTAACTCTTGTAAACTCTTCAGTGTTGTTAGTCAGGAACTTAATGACATATAAAAATCACTGCATATCAAACACCACAGCCAAGTGCTCAACCAGGGTCTACTTACTTGAATCGTCCAAAGGCTTCCTGGACAAAACCATTGAGGGATGACAGGTGGGCACTCTCACCGGTAAACTACAGCGGCAACCAAGTGAAACACAGGGTAATGAATGGAAGCAAAGCTAACTACAGCATCAATTGAGCTAAAGTAATACTTCATGATTGCAGAGTCATGCCGCAGGGGGGGGGGAGTGTACCAGTAGGTGGTCTGATAACTTAGCACATTTGCTCGGACATATTCTTCCAGGCTATTTCTAGTGACATCATTGTATGTTCCTGAATTGAGCAGGGAATGCTCAATACCTTCAATTGCCTCAAGGTTTGAGGGACGGTGCCTTTTGGTACCTATTGAAAAAGTACTGTGAAGGTGACACATTATGAACCAACACTTTCTAACACTGCGGTAGCATGGAGACACGTGATCTAAAATATATGCAAAACCCGCAAGGGCATTGATAAGAAGTGCCAGGCAGCGGACAGAAAGATCGGATATTCAACAGCTAGGGATGGGGGCCAAGTCCACAGAGCTGATCGTACAGATCTACTGAACACAAAAACCTCTTTTTCTTAGAAATAACAAGTTGCCAGCAAAGGAATTGTAGTGTCTTTCGCCCGTGACATGTTCACTGCTGATTTGTGCCTGAACCTAACAAGTTGAGTGGTAAGTTGCCAGGGCCACTTTTGAGTGAGCGACCTTTCTTTAAGAGAATCAGTAATCACTGTAAATCAAAAGCAATCCTAAAAAGTGTTTGTCCAAATCATCATCAGGATGACATACTCGGTGAGGCATCGAAACAAGTCTTGCTATTTCCAATGCAAACTTAAAGACTCTTCTTTTGTGGGAGCAGGTAACATTTTGCTGAGGGGGTTGTTTCTGCTTGAACTGCAGGCGCGTAGCATCGGGAACCTGATACTTAACGATTCCTTACCTCCTTCCCAGAGGCCACTGCCTGCAGCACTTTGGTGACGGAGCCCAGGTTGCGCCGCTGCTCATTGCTCATGCCTTTCTCCACTCCGATGTCGATGATGTCGAAGGCGTCGGGGGCAACAATGGCAGGATTCATGTAGCGGTAGTAGATGAGATTGCCCACGATCTGCAGGGAGGCACGGAGAGATTGACGGTTTGCTGATTTAGGAATTTTGGGGGTTAATGGAGAGTTCAGAATACCATGTAGTCGGAGTTGTTGGAGTCAGAGTTTTAGAATTGTTGGAGTTTTTGGGATCGGAGTCCAAGAAGAGTCACCATAGTTGTTAAAGTTTTTGGAGCTTTCAGTTGTTCTGGAGGGCAAGCAATTACTGACTTAAAGATTAATACAGAACAGATGGACTGACAAAGTACCCGGTAATTGACAAACTGCACGAATATAGGCACCAGTGTGGCAGAAAAAACATATCTTGGACTGAATAAAAAGATTCAAGCATGATCTTAAGGCCTTACCTTGAGTACTTCTTCCTCAGTAGCACTGGGAAATTTACTGTGTAGTGACTGCTTCAACACTTTGGCAATGTAGCGGATACCGTATCTTGAGAAATGTACACAAATAAGCAAATATTGACCTTACTGAATAAACATCGAAGGGGCATCCTCTGTACACTCTCTTTGGTCCATGCTTGTCATTTCCATTAGCCAATTTCCGGTTACCCTCCAAAGCTCAAAGTAAAAAGGCAATACATCTTGAATTTGACCAGTAAAGACTTGAAACCCTTGAAAAAACTCCTTATTGCTAAGAACATCGAATCCCAAGAGCTCAAATATTCTTGGGTGCATGGCCTGGAATACCTTGCCTTGTAATAAAAAAAGACATTTCCGAAATTCAAATTTTCCATTGCCTAATTGAATATTCATACGGCCATGGACTGCCAATTTCAACATGTTTCAAAATATCCCTTTTATTTTTCTGTTCTCAACAAAGAACAGGCTTCTTCTGGCTACTTCATCAACATTATCAAGCAGAACACAATAGGGCACTGGCAACTCACGGGAATTTGTCCAGAGCAGCAAATATGGACACCAGGAAACGCTCGGCCACTGTGCCCAGGGTTTTCACTGATTGCTCAATGCGTTCCAGTACTTCCTTCTGTTGTAAGGCTTGCTCCGTCGGAACATCATAGGGCAGTTTGCTGGAATTAGAGAAATGTTTTCAGAAATGCGATCAAGGAGATTATGACAAATTTCAGTGCAAACAATTTATTACTAGATCTCACAAAACGGGCCTTAAGTACTTTTCAGTTCCTATTCACATGCATTAGCACTACACGTAGAATGCAGAGCAAATAAAGACAATACTTGTTGGCTCTGTTACTCATTTTGTTGTGTTGGATCAGAGGTGGTCTGCATAATGATGGTCTCCAGGTAGTAAGTACATTCGTATTGCCAATGAAATTCTGGCTCGTAGGGTTATAATCCACATAGTCAATGAAATTCTGCTTTGCAGGATCTCAAGATCTTTAAGTTACCCTGGATATCTGGTAAAGTTTTTATCTGGAGATGTCGCTGGATAAAAGAGAAGCAACATACTGCCCAGATACCGCAAGCTTACTACTCAACACCAGAGCCTTATAATTCCTTCAATCACAAACAGCTACATGTAAGTACTTGTACTGAGGTGACACTGTGACACACTGATAACTTTACAGAAACTTCTCAAGTGCACAAAGAGTGCAAATTGTCTATAGCCATTCTGACAAGGAAAGGAACTTCTTGTTGACTGTCTTGCAAATTTCTTATGTGGTGCTTTGCAGAATCTGCAGAACATTCAGCAATGATGACCTGCGATGTCGGTGACCTCTGGTCCCTGCACGGCCTCTTGGACCCACCGGTGTGATCCACGACTCACCTAACTTGTCCCGTCTGTGTTTCCATCTGGTTGATCCAGGCTTTGTAGACATCCGTGGGACTCGTGTTGATGCTCAACTTTTTGTCCTCCATCACACCCTTGACCAACGGCTGCAGGATTTCACGCAATGAACTCTGACCTTTGGCCCCTCTGAATAATGACAACAAACCACAAAGAATGAGAAAGATTGATCTGGCGGTTATTACAAAGTGCATTTATGAAGAAAACACTATTCCTTTTTGTGTTATCTTTTTCATTCGTGTTTGCAGAGATCCCTAATCCTGACAAAGAAAAGGTGACTGGGAAGAAAAGGTAATCCAATGGCAATTTCTACATGGTAATCCACGAAAAGATGCATGCAGCCAAATCTAAAAAAACATGCAGTTTGGTTCTTGTACTTAAATAAAGGGTCCATGTGATGAAATTTTCTCGGACACACTTTTGCGCATTATTATTCTCAACTTCAATCTAAGAAAACCATACCTTTGGTGACTGAAGTGCACTTTTTTAAACATTTAAAAATTCTTTTTCTGGCCACTTGATGGTACTTTTGCCGTGATGTGAATCAGGGAAGACACTATTTAGTTTATACATGTGCACATTTGTTTTTACAATGCATGTTGGAAATAACAAACCCAAAATACTCAATGAAAACATTTCAAGAAAGGTTTGCTTGCTGGCTTATAGACGTTTATTTACGCAGTGATGAATCCCCGAAGGAAAGAGAATTTATCACGGCAAAATGCTCAAATTTCTAGCTGATTTTTGAGCACAAATCAATGCAACATGGAGGTTTTCTATCAGACATGGAATATGGAAATCGCTTTGGCATAAAACCAAAAAGCTGCCAAAAAATACTGCTGAAAATAGGAAAACAATCATAAAAATACGGTTGGCTGGAACACAAATGTGCATTTACAGGGCTGAAAAAACAATTCCACAGCATGGACCCTTTAAAACGAATGTCTGTTTGGGGATTTTGTATCCGGATTCAAAATGGTGAACAATGAAAAAATAACACTTCCTGTAAGATACCTCTTACATGTACAATGTACAATGCCATCTACGGTGTCTACATGACACAGGGCATGCCGGGAAAGATACAAGCGCCCTCTACTGTTCATGCGACTGTGAATTACAAATACTTGTAGTTTGAATCTGAGGATGCATTTCTGAATACATGCAAAGGACAATGGATTTAGACAAAAGACTCTGGAATCAGATTTGATAGAGTGAGATCATTTCATGTAGGAAGCATTCACCTGTAAGCAATGATCGTTCAACGTTTGAAATTTAAGGCAGTGAGGTTATTCCCCTTCACCTCATACGACACAGAGACCTTACTGATTGTTAGAAGTCAAGGATTGTGAACTGACAGGGTTACTTTTGACCAAGAAACAACCCTAGTCAGACCACTAAAAAAGGTATGTGTGTGTCAAAATTTTACTTTTGAACAGTGCATCATTAGACCTGTGCTCAACCAACTTGATCCGAAACTGTCAAAAATAATTTCCAAAAGCAATACATATAAGTGCAAAAATCCAAACGGTTTAAAATGACTGCATCTCAAAACCTACACATTTTTAAGCTCAAAGAGATGACATGAACGGATCACGTACAAGTATTCCTTAGGCCATGGAGTGATTCTTGAAGCTGGTGTGGTGTGAAAGTTGGCACAATAGAATACAACCCCACCCCCCCGACTTTGCTGTAAATGTGTCTAACAGTGAGAACATTCGAAGAGCAGAGGACAGATCTGAAATGAGTCCAAATATCATATGACGCCAAGAATCAAAACAGAGTGTGAGCAATTTGAAAGAGTCATGCAAAGCTACGGTGGGGGGGTTCTAGCATTCCTCATACACAGTACCATTATATAACATGTACCTCATACACCTCATATACCTCGCTCTGTTTACGAGCCAGCAATGCAGAAACAGAGAAAAAATAATGCTAGTTATCAATCACATTCACCGATTTTGTTAATGAGATGACAGGCAACTACATGTAGATACACTAGGTCAACAAGAGAGAGACATTTTGCTTTTGCAATGAATCAAGGATAGAGGAGGTTTGGAAGTACGTTCGGAGCAATGTAACCTTCAAAGCTACTTGTTTTGAATACAAACGACTGAGCATGGAACAAATAATAAGAGGGACTCCATTTGGGAGCAACATCAACTATATGGCAACCGACTAGTGACCTGCTTTATGTTAGGCACAGTGAAGCATTTGATAACTGAAACGTTCCCCTGAGAATACTACCAATACTTGGTATCCATGGTAACGCACACTGTTTCAATAAGGAACAGCCTCAAACTACTAGTACCTGGGGCATAGAACCTATGCTAGCCCAACACTTTTGCTTAGCAATTAGAGCCGATCAAATCATCGGGTGGCCTACAATGCTTGTAAAGCAGTTCCCCTCTGTTGTTCACCAATTAACAAACTTAACAAGTTCATTAAGTTGAGGCTATAGTAGGCGTCACCATAAATGAGAACTGTCACCTGGGGGCGAAACTCAAGTAATAACCATTTGTCCACAACTGGTCGATATTGCCTGGCACCGAGTATGTGTTTTGTGCACAGATTACCAGGGAAAACTGAACCTGGTTGAGGAGTAGGGAACTGCATCTGGGAACAAGCTTGGTACATGTACAGTATATTACCGGTATCTTCTCTTTCCACGAACAAACTGTGTTCTTACATGAACACAGCAAAGAGAATGCAAACGATATGGGAAATATTGACCACTCTCATTTTGCCTACAACTTGTACGGGGGGCCAAAGTTTGCAGAAATATCACCTTTTGGTTGGTTTTTTATTTTACCTCCAATTCCGTTCAAAGTGGACATCTGCGGATCTGCCTCATTGATTTTAAATAGCATTGTATTCTTATTTAGTATTTAGTAGTACATGTGACATTGTCTGGTGTTCTGATAGCTGTGTGGGATTTATAACACTGTGAATTTTTCTGTAACATTTTGTACCGATAGCAAATCATTGTTATAGCAGCCACTTGCAGGAAAAACATGACTGTGGTGTAGAAAGAGCAGACCCTATACACCCATTGCAGTTGGTACTCGGTGACATTTCCTTTAACATGGCAAGGAACCCCTGAGAAAACATGAATTAAGACAATGCTCTTTAGAGAACATGTGGACTGGCTCATTCGATATGTACTGCGCTTACAAACCGGAGGTTCTGGGTTCAGGTCCCAACCAAGCCAGCAGGTAATTTTTTCCCTCAGAGTTCACAGAATGCACCCTGTACCTTGTGTATTAATTTTACGCTACATCGGAGGAAAGCAAAAGCTAACATAAAATGTGCCAGTGCACCAACCAGCTCTAAGAAATTGCAATGACCTGAAAAACTGACTTTTAACAAAATCTGCTTAAAAAAAGGCACATATGCAACAGATACTGAAAACAAGATATGTTCTTTATCAGGAGTCTTGAAGAAATATCTACATGGAATAGGAAGGGTTTTTCTACTGAATGAAAAAAAAACTGTCTCATGCACTGGCTAAAGGTCAGAAATTCTACTTCATCTATGGGACAAATTCATAGGAATGCTTGGTAATGAGAATAGTGTACAGTTTTCCTCAAATTTCCAGAATAAATGTGACTGGATCCTTCAAAATGAGTTTTAAGGCCATTTTCCCAGTAATTTTGTTCCAGTGTGGATCAAAAAGAGCAAACTGGCCTGTGATCCTGATGAAAATGGACACTTGTGGGTGGGAAATGTAGAATGTTTCCATTGATCTACATTATGTAGGATTCTCCTTTAACTCAAAAATGGCTCTGGTGACTTCTGACTCATTTGCTCGGGCTGGGTCACAAATACATGTAGCTACATGAGTAAGTTGGTGGCCCGGTTAAACCTGAGTCTGAACTGGTCTGTATTCCGACACAATCCCTCTCAGGACAATGCATGGGAAAACTGTCCACAGTTTACTGAGCCTATAGAGGGCTCTGGTTGTCTTACCTGTTGAAAGTGACTACCATCTTGATGACCATAGGACTGCCTGTTACAATCTCCATCATCTTATCCACTTTGGAGCTGTCAACACAAACAAAACGGCCAACGTTAGAAAAACAGGACAGACTGTTCATCAAGAACAAAGTTTTGTGAAACAGTACAGGTGAGTGCAGATATGAGAAAATATGGTTTTGGGCCTATCCAAAACTGTGACACTCTGTAAAAAGTTATTAAGATATCGGTGAGGAATATCAAAAGTACATTTTCTACAAAAGAAACACAAAACAACTCTATCCATCCTGAAGTATGGACTGATTTAGCAACTCTATCAAATCAAGTTGACATTCCTCTTGTGCATTAACAAGGGAATGAGATTTAATGGCCAACAATGAGTCTGCTGCAAAGGAGTGAAGTAACCATCAAATCTGACAACTAACTACATCACAAAATAATTCTCTTCACAACACAGTCTTTGAAATGATAAAAATTATTTTGGAACAAAAACTAAATGACTAAGGCTGCATCTGAATCTGTTGTCTAGAGCTAGGTCAAGGTCTTCGCTCCATTGGAAATGCGCGGAGACGCACAGGCAATGGACCTAGCTGTAGCTCTGGAAGTCCATTTTGGACACGGCCTAAGAAACTTTTTGAGGCTATTGCGGTAACTTCCATCTTTGTTGTAAACACTCGAAACAATAACTTTCACAACACTGTTACAGGTCAAATACAACACACACTTGGCCAATGCCAGTGCCACATAAGACTTTACACTTATGGCAAATTACATGTACATGAGTAAGCAACGTTTCAACTTGGCATGCACAGTACAATACTGCCGAATAGACAGAGGGCACACAATAAACAAGCTTACATACGATACCCAGTACTTTGATCCATTTGGCATGTTTGGGCTGTATGCACAAGTGTCTATTTATCTGTGGCCAGCCATAACATGTGCATCTAAGGGAAGTGGCTACTAGCTACAAGCCAGTGGCTGCTATAGGTGCACGTTATACATGTACATAGCCACAGCCACAACTTTTGGATGCAGCCTGAGTGCTCTCACGTGTAGCGTAGTTCCTTCCGTCCCTTTTTGAGTTTGAAATATAACAGATGGAACCAGTCCATCAATGGACCTTTCCCATGAAATATAGGCAGGTGCATGCGCATTACTACCACTGGTTGGCAAAGTTGCTTAAATCTATGACGTAACAATACAATTCTCCATGCGCGCGCAACTATAAGCACATGCAAGCCGTTTCCGTACTAGTACATGTATAGTATAGTTTGACCTGAGTGCCAAACTTAAAGACAAGGAATTGATACCAACCCCAAGACACTGAAACTTCACTTAGTTTCAAGAAAAGTGTGCTGAAGTATTCGAAAAAGGCTGTAATATGGTTTTATTTGACCTTCAATGCGCCAGGTTGTGGTTAGAGCAACTCTCCTACACTGCCGACAGTGTTGATGGCTGCACTTGCCAACCAGTGGTAGCAGGGCGCATGCACCTGCCTAATTTGCACATTCCATGGGAAAGGTCCATTGGCTGTCTTGAACCAAATCACACTTTTCCTGGTATACCAAGACAAAAAGTACTTCGTACATGTAAACTGGCAAAATGTAACCTCTCGTTAGGAAAACAAAGTGGTCTCCATAGCTTGTGCACACAGCCCAGATAATTACAATGTAAACATGACCAATGAAAATGCCGTGCATACAACGCACATGGTACAGTACTTCATGCAAATCAAACATGAAACAATCACAGCATGCACATTAATCACATCTGCACGTCCAACAGCAAGTTTTAGCTATGGTCGCTGTGCATGAGAACCCATCACCAGTGACAAGAGGACAGCCTGAGCCAACAACACATCAGCAAAACCCATGGCTGTCATGTGCCAAGCACACACAGGAGGAGTGCACAGGTGTGGACAAGTGCGTCTACGTGCCAGATGAGGCACTCTTGGACAAAAAGTGACCTTCTCATTCCCAAGTGGAAACCACTTCATTTTTTTTTTTTTTAACCACTTCACGCAGGGGTGCCCAGTACCAGAGACCTTAGGTTTGTGCGCATAGTCGGAGTGCCCAAAATCGGACAAAGGAACTGGGCCTTGTAACAAAAGACCGTACTTGAAACAAAAGACCGGGCTGCTGGGAATCGCCAACATTTTTTCAGTTGTCAATGGCGGAGGGAATCGGTCATTGTTATGAAACAGTATACCACTATTTGTGGCAATTTAGACCACATATGGTTAAACCAAATTCTATTGTTGGTTCTGCCACCTGATCATCCAACAAGGAGGTGGTGAACTACATGTACTTGTGCTGTGATTATAGGCAATTGATTCTTCAGCAATGTTTATCTCGGTGAAAACAAAAACACAATCTTGACAGCCATCAGAATTTGCAACATGTTAAGGTCAACAGCACAGGGTTCACACTAGTCACATAACAGGAGACCACAATGTGTTCAATTTTCTTGGAATGGTTTCCCTAAATATCAAGATGCCTTCATGCAAAAAGCTATCAGGAAACAGCACATGTGTGTGTCCAAATTGTCCGCTGTGATTGTTTGGTTTCCATGATTACAGCTGTCATGGCAACTCCCTCAACCATCCTCTTGACAAACTTTAACTTTCACTTCATTTACAAGTAGATCAAGTTTCCTATCAACAGAAAATGTTCAAATTACAATTCTCTGAGTTGTTTGTTTTGTATTGGGGAAGACACATGTGCTTGTGCTTCCTTAATTAAAGAAACCTCCGCAAGAATGATTTGGGGCATGCCAAACAGGTGAATCCATGATGAATAAGCGAAGAACATGCACGGTGTGTCAACAGGGCTGATTGAATGACAAAAATGATTGCAGAATCAGTAAAACAGGGCACCATGCACCATGTTCATTGGGTCAGAACACCACAGGTATATACAAAATGAGTTAATAGCAATATAGCAATGAAACTCTGGAACAGCTACTTGAAACATTCTTGAGAGTTCACTAACAAGATAAGGTTGTGGTCTACTGGAACTGCAAATAATTAATCTCCACATCAAATAAAAGACGGTGAATTCAACAATGATCTCAGTTTTGCCTAAAACGTGTAACAATAAAACCTAGAACTACAGACACCAAATATACATGATGCATGTGTTTGCCAATCCCAACATTGGCATACATATACCGGTATATTCAAACTGAAAGGCCAACGAGGTAAGACTCTGAAGTTGATGTTTACCTATGGACACAATTCCTACGTTGTTATGGACCTTTCTCCACAAAAATTGGTTCATTTCACCTTTTCCTGTTTGCATTAGGACACAATAGGACCAGAAGGTACAGTAGACAAAATGAACATTTTGACTTCACAATGTACATGTATTCCTAATAAGACATGGATACAAATGAATCTTCAGAAAGGATTTTTCAGACACAACAGAATGTACATTTTGTATGAATAACCTCTGAAGGAGTGACGGAGAGAGGACGAGTACAATTAAGCCTCATCTCACGGTCTCAGGACTTTTATGTTCAGGAGCAGGATCGCCAACAGACATTCAGCACTTGCCATTCTCCACCCAGGATCAAAACAGGGAGCCCACAGGCCAAAACATACCCCTGATCAGCTATGTCACTGTTCCAAGGTTCAGTACAGATTACATTTTACTCTTTTCCCAAGATGACTTTTCTGGCCAAATGCCATGATGCACAATTGTTACAGTCCAACTGAATGACCAAGAGGCAAGGAAAGATCTCAAGTCTGAAAGGATGTCCCTTTATCTCTTCTTTCACAACTCACAAAGTTTTCGGTGGTTTGCTGTCGTAAATTCGATATGAGCAGCTTTGAAATGCGATACAGATATCCTCTATCAATTCATAGCTGGGAAAGTACAGAAGACAAAGGCATATTACTTCACTTCTGAAGGGAAATAAATTCTGTTTCAGTGTTTACCCCTCCCTCCCTCCCTCCCTCCCTCCCTCCAAAAGGGAGTCTATTAGTGGAAATGAAAAAAAGTGGAAAAAAGAAAAAGAATTATCACTTCTTGGTAGTTGAAGGGATATCGCAGCCTGAGATTTGGGTTATTTGCATCATCATGCATGAACAAATTTTGTCCCAATGTTACTTGAAAGCAGCCAAGCTGAACAACAAATTATGCGCCTGTCCAATTTCAGCAAATTTCAAGCCTGCCCATGTGACATTATTGGAAGCAAAAGCTTAGATGGCAAAAACATACTAAATGTGCATGAGGTTAGTATTCTCAGTTAAATGTCTACCACTGTTACATGTTTACAAATTGAATTCTCTATCAGACATGAAACAGTTAAGGACATCACATCAACCACGAATTGTAGTGTGTGCCACTACCAGATACAAAATTCAAACAGTGTGTGGTACAATACACGTCCTGGGGAAAGAGGTTGACACCTCCTTACTTACATCATCCTAGGGTAGAGGTGGCATCCGGAAAGAAGCGAAAAGATGTATGATGGAGAGGTGGATAAAAAGTGGCAAGAAAGATTGCAGTGGTCTCAGATACAAAATAATAGAGTGAAAATTGGCAGCGTAAAAATAAAACCGAAGAAAAAACTGTAGATTACAAGTACAGATAAAAGCAAAACTAAAATGCAGCAAGTCAAGCATCAACTTACAGACATGTACCTCTAAATTGGACTGGTGGACGTTATTCATTTCCCCACCTGGCATCAATGTAACTTATATTCATTGTAAAACAAAGGCGGGAAATTGCTTGAAAACTTGGATAAACCTTGAATTATGATTGCCGTCTAACCAAAAATTGGTGGACTTGTTGGTCCATCCAGCATGCATGTTGGTAGCGTCCTGGAGTTCGGTGCAAGGTATTTGAGATAATAGATCTTACATGTAAAAAATAATGCAGGCAGACTAGTAAATGACAACAAAAGTTGAAAGGAAAAATGCCATGCATGGAATAAATGAAAGAAAACTCCACAACTGAAAAGCAAAAATCCGTGTGAAAGAGACAAGTACCTCATTGCAAACCAATCTACACAATCCAAGATACAGGGCCAATCAAAATAAAGGAAACCCATATTCAACCACAATTTACAGGAAAAATGCAGATTTCTTCATTAAGCATTGTATGTCTCCAGAAAGGCCAGCATGTCTTTTTCCAACAACATCTTGATCATGTGCTCAATGTCACAGTTGAACGAGTAACAATGCATTGTTGACCAGCAGGTGACATTTGCTCTGTGACAAATTGCCGGTAGCATACACAAACATTCAAAAGCACTTGTTTGTGTTGGCCTAAGCACAGTCAAATGTGCATCATCTACAGTGTATGCTGATTTGCCACAGAGTAAATTTCACCTGCTGGTAAACAATGCATTGTTACTCGTTCCACTGTAACATTGAGCACATGATCAAGGTGTCACTGGAAAGAAGACATTCAGGCCTTTCTGGAGACATATAATGCTTAATTAAGAAATCTGCAGTTTCCCTATTAATTATGGTTAAATTAGGGTTTCCTTCATTTTGATACGCCCTGTATTGAAGAACTGTTCAAAAAAATTGATGGGTGTGCAAAATCTTTTCAATGGTCACAAGAAGTATCATTGTCCCTTTAACATGGCTCCCACAATGACCAACAAAAGTAATCACCGATAAAGCCAAAAAGTATTATTTGACAACCTTCACTCAATACATGGCAAGAAAATCTGACTATTTTTTTGGAACCTGGCCCTAGCTCTGTTGTGTATGCGAAACTGGGGTCAAACAAAATCAAACAGGAGTTTTCTCTAAAAGAAAAGTGTTTCTCTTCCACACAAGTTTTTCATCCCAGTTTGATATTTCAAGCTGGTTATTTCAAAGTTCTGTTCAGTCTGACTAATGCTGCTGTTCATTTTCAGTACAGTACTGACAAAAGGCCCACAAAATTGAACTTGCAACGGCACGCCACCTTCAGTTTTGGAGAAAGCTAGTCACCTCAGACAACTGCTTTTCACATTTGTCTTCACCACTGCTCCATACAAGAGGCAGCACACTACAGAGACAATAACCCGTTCCAGTGACACAAACCTTTGACCCATTAGGCATTTCTAAATTAAAATCATGGGCATTTCGAAACAACCAATCAAGATAAGCAAAAAGTAACTGCACCCAAACCACAAAACCCTTGTGTAGTTCTTTAATTTCATAGCCACCCTTGTCAAGCCTGTTAAGCTAAAAAGCAACATCTCACCCACGTCTAGAGAAAAAAAAATCAGTAAAGAGCTTACGTTATCTCTTCCTCCAGAGCCGTCTTGAAGAGTTTAAGCATGAGAAACTCCTCGCGCTGGTTGGCGGCGTAGTTGTAGAGCGTCAGGATGACGGACTCCATGAACTTGGTGGTACGGCTCTGGGCATGGCAAAGATGAGCTTGGCCAGGTAGCTGGGGTTGGTCTGCAGCAGGTAGAAGAGATGCTGGTAGGCCTCCAGCATCTCTCGCTTCTCCCTGCTCAGCGCCTTCAGGCCCGAGGTGCGACTGGTCTCCGTCTGGCGGCGCAGCTTCTTGCCATGGGACACCACATCCTGGGAGAAGAGGAAGACAAGCATTATTGTCCTCAATCTTCCAATAGTTGAAGGGCTCAAGACTGTTTGGGGGTTCATACATTGAATAATCGGATCCCATGAAATGAGTCTCAAGGGCATATTTTGAAGAAGCTATCTGTTCGAATGTACTAAAGAGGCCATTTTTATTTTCTTTCAAAATGATTTTCTGGGACTAATTCATTTCCCCTTCCATATCAAAACATAAAAAAGCCCCAAAATTTAGCCTCACGGCTGAGATAGCCCATCCCATAAAGAAACCTGAAAATCCCTCAAACAGTTTGGTCTCAGATCCACCCTTCCCTGCCTCCTGGGAGCCGTTACCTGCAACGTGATCCTGTTCTTGACCAGAAGTCCTATCTTGATGTCCATCATGTTCAAGTCGTTCTCTAGCTGCTGATTGGAGCGAATCTTCTTCACCACTTTCTCACGCAACTCTTGCAGTTCTGTTATAGCAAAGCACCCATCAATCTTTTCACCTCTTCAGATCCCTACAAATTTTCCAGCACTGGATTTACATCTTCTGTGTTTCAAGTAAACAGTGAACATTTGGCAGTCTGTAGTGTTGCTTACCAAGTTCCTCGTTCAAGTCCACTTCGTTGCTCTCAAGTAGGTGAACAAACTTTGAGACCACGCTGACAGGTGGATTTTCTGATTTGACTGCAGGAGAAAGAGAGGACGGAATGATTGAAAAGCGGAGCTGGGTAAGGCTTTTTTAACACCCAACCCTATCCCCAATAATGAGATTATTAAAGGTCAAACAAATGTTTGCAAGCAACTTCTTTCTTCTCAAGAAACTTGGGTCACTCTGAAATTACCTCAAAAACAACATGAACCTGAAGTAAAACAAGATGTACATTGCAATCATACCACAAGTAATTATATTGATGATACACTCTAATGATATTAAGCAACTGCTTGGTTTACTGAAGTACTTACTGAGTGTGAAGTAATCATTCCTGGCTTTGTTGGATCGCCAGAAGGTCTGAATTCTGATCACAGAGTTCACCTAAGGAGAACAAATTACAAATGGAATCTCTCAATCGTCAGGAAGACTGCGACAGTAAAACATAAAAACAAAACTTTTTCTACATTTAGAACAGACTAATGACACTGTTTGAGATTAAAATGATTGGGGTTTCTCTCACTAGTGTACACATCTACTTGAAATGAATTGTAACAGCAATGATTACATTAGTAAGTTGTAGTCAAGGCTATCGCAACACTCTTCAAAAATCAAGCCACAACTTCCCCAGTCTCCTTGCAAGCTCCTCCACAAATCCAGTCACAACAACGTTCACAAGACCCAGTCATAAGTTACAGGGTGAACAATGACAAAGGAATGTTTTCCTTTGCATGACCTGTGGCTCATTCAAGACTGGTGGACGCAGGATGGGCAACACTACAACTTTTGAGTTTTCTAACAACACTGGTGTTCAAGGCAAATGACGCAATGAGAAGGCATAACGGGTCGGTAAATTTCTCGAGTCGCATTTGGCAAATTGTTTTGCTATCGAGAGTGCCAGTATTTTATGACAACCATGCATTCAGGAAGTGTGACAGGTGGACAAACTGGGGAAAGGTCCACTACATCAGTTTTTCTTCTGCCCCACCTGGACCCCAAAACGTTTATACTTCTCTTCAGCAGAAGCTACGTTACACTCCTACTTACATTATCTCTGAAGAAATTGAGTCTTCCTTGGTACTTCTTCTTCTCTCTGTACATCCGGGCATAAGATTGCAACTGGAAAAAATACATAAATAACACCACAATACTGTAGTAATACTGAACCAAAATGAAATACTTTGAATATAAAATTATAATTGGAATACCATTTACAATATATGAATACCAATATTGCTGATGAGAGAGTTTCCTTTAGCAAAATAAAGAACTTGTCTGTACCTTAACAGAGGTTTCCTCTTGCTTGTTGAGGAATTCAAGTCTGTCTCTGTAAGCTCGTCTCTGACGGAATCCCCTGAGCCAACTCTGAAAGACAGTATCACATAATAACACTGATGTCAATTCACTTGAATCTACCCAGATTGAACACCCACTCTCCTAGCAATACTGACCTACCTGCCTCTTTGCAACCACTTCAGCAGTGCCACTTTTGACTGAATTTGAAGAAACAAGAATTTTGATCTTACGTAGTGGTCTGGACATATTTTGATGATAAATTTCAATAAATCGAGTTAACAGCAAACAGGTCAAATATTTGAATAACTCGGTGAGGTAACAACGGAAATCTCCATGCACACCCATGCAATTTTTTGGCTTACAGAGCACCTGTTTTGTTTGTTTTCAGCAACTGGAATGTTTGCTTTGAAATACGCTTACCATTAACCACTTCCTGCCAGGTGGGAATTTGAATATGCGGGATGAGTTCCTGGGTGATTTAAAGATTTTCCGTTTTCAAAATTCTTCAAGAATTCATAACTTCATTAACTAGATGTTTAGACCCACACAAATGACTGTCTGGTGGCTACTCTGACGGGCAACTTTCACTTTCGCCCGAGTATTGCAGCCAGGACTGCCGCCCCAAGAGAGCCCAGATTATGCGGTATTGTGTAATTTCCTTTGTTCCCGAAATTGGCCCAGTGTGTTGCTGAATGGCAGTTGCGTCTTTTCAAATGCAGTCGGATTAGCATGCAGCTATACTGCATCGCTCATCACTGGAGTACTTTTGTCCCCGCTGATAATCTGCAGGCGCTGAATGGCCCAAACAGTGGTATACTGTTTCAAAATAATGATGAATTACCTCCAGTAATGCCAGCTGAAAAATGATGGTAATTCCCAGCAGCAGGCCTTTTGTTCCAAGTACGGTCTTTTGTTACAAGGCCCAGCTCCTTTGTCTGATTTCGGGCAGCCCGGCTATGCGTACAAACCCAAGGAGTCCGGTACCAGAAACCCTGGCACCGAGTGGTTCAGCAAACTTTTGCTCAATGGTCAGCAAAAAAAGTTGCTTAAAAGTAAGCAGTGTCGTGAAATTGGGCCCATATTGGCATCTATCTTACTATCATAAAAGACTAAGCCTATGAAAACATCAGAGATAATGTGGCTACGGCTTCACTTTTTTGCCAACAACATACTACAGAGAACAGCCCTCACCGTTACCAAAACTGCCTAATATTGAACACAGGCTCACCTGTATGCGAACGATAGCAGGTAACTGCCTCCTGATGAAATCCAGTCTCTCCTTGTAGGCCTTCCTGGCGATAGTCCCTCTGACGTGAGACTGGATTGTGACGATCTTGTCCTCATTGGCTTGGAAGAGGAGGGCACGATCATACTCGGCTGTCACCCCTGTCACAACTTTCTGTCAGTCAAATGAATAGTTAATTTTCAAAAACACCATACTTGCCAGCTACGTTGCTTGAATGTTTCTGGCTTTTAACTAGGGATTATTTAATGCCAGCTGACACCAGGTGCAGGATTATTTTTGGCCCAAAAAGCAGCCTTTAAAACGGACATGACACCACGGCAAAACTTCATTTCTAGGTTCAGGGTTCCTGCACCTAAAGGACAATAAAATTCCATAACTTTTCCATGACCAAATTATGAAAATCCATGACCCAATACTGCAATTTCTTGGACTCTTCGGACTTTAAAAGCTGCAAATAAAATCAAGAATTTTTTGCACTTACTTCACACATAGTGTTGAAAAATTCCGTGACTTTTCCATGACTTTAGTCATTTTTACAAAATTCCATGACTTTTCCAGGCCGCGGGAACACTGTATGTTGGCCCTCATTAAATAACCTTACCAGCCATTTGTACAAGATTTGTGAGGCATTATAACCAGCTTAATTTTTGTGACCCTCTTAGGCCACACACAGCAATTTTTGCGACAACTGCAACCTGCATACAGTAACCAAGTTTATATGAAATACACAGTCACTTCCACAGACTTGTCAGTAGGTGTACAAAACCAATTGGGAATTTCACAGTTTACCCAGTCACCTGCTGGCGACAATACATCGCCCAAAACGTGTAAACATAATCTCTGTGAAGTTGTCTTACAAACCACCTGGTAATTTATGTCCCCTAGCAAGATTAAAGATACGACACTCAGCAGAGCTTCAGTTTGGAAGCACGTGAGCCATTTTCGGAGCTTTTTCGGTTTTTTTGCTGTCAGCGCTGACTTGCCTGGATCTCCTCTTTGCTGAGCTGCAGGTTGGAATCGTTGAAGTCTTCCGCTTCAATCCAGCTGGACTCCATGGTGAGGAAGTTGAAGTAGAAACTGCTCCCATCCTTCAGCTTGTGGCAGACCCAGCTACCTGGAGCACCACCTGCAGAGAAAGAAGTAGGGAGAGACGTAACAGGTGAAAGGCAAGAAAATGTTGGAATGTAATTAAATTAGAAGTATGGAATCTATATACTGTTTCCTCCGCCCCTCCCATGACAAGACTGCCCCACCCATGATTTGGGGATTTACTTGCAAAGCGTCAATGCATGCGGTTTTCTAGTATGAAGTCAAAGGTTCTCACAACACTTTAAAATGGGAGAAGCTGGCACCCCCTCCCCAAAAGGGACTAACTCTGTCCTTGGCGATACTTAAAATACAGTACACGTAGCTGGAGGACAATCCAATCACAGTGCTGACTCTATTTTTAGAATTCTTCGACCAATCAGCTGTCTTACTCTTTGCCTTTTCTTCCTTGGCCTCTGTGAGTTTCTCCATGTAAGTCTGCTCACACTCAGGGACCACTGAATGGAGAGCCAGGTCTGGGTGACGCAGTGCATCCAGGAGAGGGGTCGATTTCTTGTCATCAATCATCATATTGACATTGGCCACGCTCACCGCAACTGTACAAATGAAAACAAGAAGTTACTGAGAGAAAATCAAGAGATAAAATATGCCCTGTACTTATTAAGAATACGTTCAGCTCGGATTGAGGACTGTTTCCAGTCATTTGACAGGTGGTGTAAGTACGAAAATCTGGAAACAAAGGGTTTGTTAAAAACAGGCAACAAACATCAGGCCATCGGAGCCTTGACATGGTACTTGACACTGGGTCAACATTGAGATGTTGGTAGTTGCAAAGATTTACATTACAAACTAGCTCAAAGGTTGCAGATTAACCCTAATCATTCTGAATTCAACAAGCATATGCACGATTTCAATGGTCCCTACAGGGTTAGGGTCAACAAGGCAAGACCATTTCTTGTCTCTGGAGTCAGTATCGAGTCAACTCTGATAGAAGCACACTCCTTGGTTCACTTGTTACACTTCTGCATCCTCCCCTCTTCCCCCAGATTTTTTTCATAGTTCACAGAGACAGAGAGCTTACGCTTATTTGCATTGACGTTCTTGTTGTTGGACTTGTCGACGCCATCTTGGATTTCATCCAGCCACAAAACAGCTGCCTCATCCTCCATCAACTGACGAAAAAAAAAATTGTCAAAAAACATCTCTTTTTGTCAACAGTCATTTTAGTAAATATATACTTGGTGTCTGAAAGATAATATTGTGTAGGTTAAATATAGTTTAACACTTTTATGGCAAACGAGGGCCAACCAGTCTGTGCTCTGCAAAGGCAAACCTTGCTCTACTATATAAGTATATCACTTTCATTTTTGACCCAAACACTGAATACACAGAACTGTACCACACTGAAGTCACTGCCAACATAGGCACAGGGTAAACTTTGTGAGAATTAACAATGTCACTTTCAAGTGGAAACAGGTCATGTTCACTGCATCGCCATTCTCAACCTTCACCTCTTTTGGTTCCCCTCGACAAAAATGCCAGGATTTCTGGTCCTACCTCTGCCTTGTGGTCCTTTTCGCCTCGTAGCGTGATGAGGTAGAGTATGTGTAGCTCGGGGTCCACCTCTCGCAGCTTGGCGGCTGGGGTCTGCAGAGCCTTAAGGGTCTCGTCTGGATCGCCGGTATCTATGGCCTCGTTGATCTTTGCCACTGCCATGATACCTAGAAAGAAGTGCAAAGACACAGCATCAATAGACCTGGCTTGTGATACAAGATGTGGACGCAGCCGGAGAAGCATTTCCTGGTAATGCAGTAGAATCACAATGGGCTCTCCACTGATTTGCGCTCAGCGCACAAATTTTCTGAAGGTCACGTTCTGCTTTGCAGCTCTACAAAACTGAACCTAATGTTAAAGGGAAAAAGCCCCTCCACATTTCTGCCAGCAGTGGCTACTCACGTTCGTGTTCTTCCTGGACCTCCGCATTGACCTTTTCCACACAGTCTTGTATATGCTCTTGTAGGAGATAATCCGCTCCAGCCTGCAAGGCGTAAAAGGTGTTGGCATTGCTCAATGTTGACAAATTCACTAATGACATGTCAATGTAACGACAGACAGCTACTGGAAATTAATGTAGCAAATGACCTCTGAATGGTGATACTGGGCTGTTTACGGGGCTCCTGGTGAAATGATCACAGTCGGACTGATCTGACAGACTGTAAATGATCTACAGATGTTCATTAGAAGCTTGTATTTTGAATCAATGCTAGAACATTCCTAAGCCAAAATGCTGTAAGCTGGGAAAACAATGTTTGCTCGCACACAGCTTCATGCCCATTTGATACATGAACACTCAAGGCCAACTGCTGTTGAAAATATATGATCTTGAAAAATGAAAAGTTGGAATTTTTCCTCTTTGCTGGGGAGAGTGCTTTTAGTCACAGCGGCTAGGTAAATGTGGCATATTCAACACGATTAAACAATAAAATATTACAGACAAACAAAATATCTAGAAGTCTACTCAGCAAAATGGTTTCCTCTTTTTTTGGGTTAAACATTCCAATTTTTTTTACATAAATAACTGCCAGGAGCTGGCCTGACTGGACTGACCTTAGCATTGGAGTGTTTCCGAGAGGCCAGTTTGTCCTGGTACCTCTGCCTGACCGTCTCATCACCGTCCACGTCTCCCAGGCAGGACTCAGGCTGCAGCATGAGGCGGACCGTCTTGTCCGCGTCACCTGCCTCCACTGCGTGGTTAATGCTGGCCACCACGCCAAGCACTGTGAGAAATGGTTGAAAGGGTTGATTGGTTGACGGATGCTGAACCTGGGCCGTTTCATGATAAATGGCCACAGATAAGGGATGTGGCGAGTAGAATTAGAAGTCATTACTTCGTTGGCGCGAAGCTTACAACACTCTCTTTGAATAGCAGAGCATTGCAGTTTGCCAACACACACGCGAGCCCTACATATACGGCCACATACGAATCACTTAGCTACAGCTTGAAATTACACCTGACCACGTGAGAACTGGCTGCGGCTACTACCATAGACTTATGCATAAGTTCTGGCCACAGCCAAGTCATACAGATATATGACCTGCTGTATGAACATGTGTGTTAGTACGGTGCCATTACAGGAACGGTGTCTCCTCAGATTACTTTATTGCCACAACCTTATCATGGTGTCCTTTACTGTGCAAATCTCAATTGATAGACGCCTATTTGATTTACGCGCGCAGGTAGAAGTACAAGGCTGCGCTACAGGGAAGAACAATGTCGTGGGGAAAAGCTTCCTAGTTTCAACACTGTCATGGGGAAAAGCTTCCGAGTTTCAACACTGTCATGGGGAAAAGCTTCCGAGTTTCAACACTGTCATGGGGAAAAGCTTCCGAGTTTCAACACTGTCATGGGGAAAAACCTCCTAGTTTCAACACTGTCACGGGGAAAAGCTGCCTAGTTTCAACACTGTCATGTGGAAAAGCTTCCTAGTTTCAACACTGTCATGGGGAAAAGCTTTTAGATGTTTGAAAGTTGTATAGCAGCGTACCTTGCAGAGCTTCTGAAAGCTGGTCATGCGTAAGATCCTGTCAATAAAGGATAAAACAGATTTAAACAGATTTTCAGAACGCCCAATGAGGTTTTTTGAAGCTCAGAAGAATGACAGGACTAAAGACTGGAAGGATCAATCAGGAAGCTTCAAATATGTCACTTGCCATTCCAAAACTAGGCTGAAGAATTACAAGCTAGAGTCTCAAAAATTATATTTAAATATCCAAGAACCACGTCATTTCTCAAAAACTCTGTAGACAAGTTTGTTTACTCTTGAGTCACTCTGAAGTGTGACAATTACCAGTTGGGAAGAAGAACGTTCAAACATCAAAATCACTTACTTCTGTTTGCTTTTAGAAGGGAAAGTCATAAGTGACTTGTCATGAGACTATAAGCTCTAAATGAGCATAAAGTCAAGGACCAGTGCAAATACCTTGGTCGTATCATGAACTGATGTACATATCTTGATTAGCACACGACAAATTGTGCACAGACGTTATGCACTAGGAAGGTCGGTTCATGGTATGCACTTATCAAAACAGGTCAGTCTGTGATGCAACCAACAAATTCTCACCGCTTCGTTGGAAGCTTTCAGTCCAGACAACTCGTCCTGGTACAGCCCTGCCCACTGCACATCGACGGGCGGCAGCTTGGCCTCGGGTCTGCTGAGAGCTTGTACAGTCTCGTGGGCATTGCCTCCGTCGATGGCTGCATTGATGTCACGCACGGCTTTCAACACTGTACGGAAATAAAACAAAACAAAAATTTACGGTCCTAAAGTGTCCTTTTTTTTTCTGCTGTTTATCACCAGACAGGTAGCTGGCAAGTCTGAGTAATGAAGGAATTCCAGACATATTTTTAATCAGAGGTGAGATTGGAGAATGAAGAGAAATCAACAGTGGGGTTGTCACAATAACATACAGGTCTTGACTTTTAAAGGCTTTCAACAACTGAAAAGGAACGACTCCATTCTGACATGGCTTTAATTGTGAGAACCTTGCACTTGGAATTTGGCACAAAGATCCAACGAGTGGCGAAACCTGAATGATTACAACTCTACAACTTAAGAAATTTTGGGTCAACAATCCTGAAACCTGGGAGATGTCAGGGGAAGTCACACCTCTGTCTTGTCTTAATTTGTAATCAGTAATGACATACATGACGAAAAACCCCAAGGAAATCAACTGATCCAACGGGAAAGTTGCTAGCTGGAATATGCAAAGGTTCGAGGAAAAGCCCTGGGACAAAATTTTTAGTTGACTTACTTTGCTTGTGCTCCTCGGCTTGTGTGTTGGCCAGGTTGACACCCAGCTGGAGCTCATCTTTGTCCAAGGCTGTTCCTCTTTCACCTCCCATCTGCAACAGAGAAAGAAACAGTCACTGTGTACCAAGACGGGCAAACCTAGGCAATTGCGGTTCACCACAATGAACCAAGAGCTCTCAGTTGTGCACAGTGTATTGCAAACTGCTATCCATTGCGCGGCACTTTTTGACTGTGTAAACCGATGCATATATGTCACGCAATCCTTCAGTGGCTGTTAGCAGGACGCAGGTTTCTTTCAAGAATTTCTGCATACCAACTTTTTAAAGGCTTAGTGTTTATCTCCATCATTATTTTCAAGCCTCAGTATTTAGATTAAAAACTTCAAGTTCAACGCAGCTCTATCCTCTATTGCAGAAACAGATGCCCAAGTTTGCAATATATGAAGAGTACTCGTATGGTTCCAACAGTTAACGTGCACGTGAACAGCATGTGGAGCTCAAGGTGAGGAGGAAACCGAAGAGATAAAGCCCAGATTTGGAAAAAAAAACCTACGAATGGACTGGGGCTGGAACAGAACCATGGTGCTGAACAGCCTCTGCCTCAAAGCCACTGGCCCTAATCCTAAGGCCCATTCTACTAAGATGCAAACTGGAGTCTTCAAAATCCTCTGTCTCCAGATAAAAGTTGGAGACAACATCAGTCCTTATAAGTCCTCCCTTATTTCTTTTAAGGGACCCCTTGAGGAGAGACCATTGCCTCAATCCTCCAGAGCTCTCCAAAAATACTTGGATTGATTTGGGAGGACTCAGAAACAGCACCAAGCCCGCATGGCTGATTTTAATCTAAAGAGACGTGAAGTATCTACGTACAGGAGCCAGCCAGTAAAGGTAATCAAGGAATCTGCCGTATATCTTTCTGAGAAAAAACTGAAACCTGAAGAAGTGCTTTCGCACTAAATCCCAACATCATTCTGCAGCACTTCAAAGCAGTGCCAAAGTGAATGCAGTCTGCATGAGTTTTACCTCTGCCTTCTTCTTGCGCACATCAGACAGAATACTCAGATAGTAGCGGCCATGCTCAGACTTGACATCCTTCAGACCGATGGCTGGACTCTCCAGGGCGCGGACCAATGCCGTGGGGTCACCGCTGTCCAGTGCGGAATCAATCACCACCAGTTGATTTTGTACTGCAGTCGGAAGACGGTGGAGAAGAAAAGCCCCACATTAAAACATACTGCTCTGAGAAAGACCAAGCTATCCTTGCACAAGAGGGGGAAATGGTTTAAAGGGTACCAGGAATGGGTATTCTGTAGACATACTCTTCCTGCAACCTTATAATCTTCAACACTTGAAAACTAGTTGGCATTCCTTTCAGGTTAAACGTAGTGAAAAAAAGAATATCTTTAAACGCTCAAAATTTCCATGCTTTCCTGGACAATTGAGGGTGTTGTTGCCGTAATGCCCCTCAGGGAACATGGTTCGGTGCATAGGTTTTCTGATCCCAGAATTTACTCGCTAAAAGCTTTTCTTATAAAGGGTTGCTCACACTTACACAACGAGTCACCCAAAACAGAGAGAAAATTTGGAGTCACCAAAAAAAGAGAAAATTTAGGCCAGCAAAATACAAAAATATCCAGCAGTTTCTGGTGACCAAACCAATGTAACGATGAGGTGTTCTTCCTGGGCTGGGCTGGTCATAGTTTTACTCATGAATATCGAAATCTCATGAGCATGAGAACCAAAAAACCTTTTAAATGGTGGAAAAAAATTGGAAATGAGGTTAATGGAGATGAAAAGGTGCATTTTGATGGTGTGAAGTGCACAGCAGAGACCCTTTAATAAAGTGCATAATTGAGACGAAACCGTCAGACTCACCGTTAGCAGTATTGATGTTGCCCTGTATCTCTGCCTGTGTTAGCAGCAATTCATACATGTCTCTCTCTGCCATATCTTCACCTTCACGCATGCTCTGTGGACAAAAGGAAATAACCATTGGAACTCTTTGAGAGATGTCTCTTCCTACCAAGTGCTTTTATGGGTAATTCCAGAAATTAGGGGTCCAAAAGTGTGACATTTTGGGTCCCTGTTACATCTGATCTGTTATGGAAATGTCACCGGAATTGATTTCAAACTATTACTATTTGTTTGGCAGGTAATTTGCATTAATTCATCACTCTTGGAAATTAAACAATGTGTTGTGAACTTACATAATCATATGTCAGATGTGAGAGGGACTTGAAAAAAATGGACCCTAATTTCTGGAATTACCCTCATCTGAAAGGTATTTGAAAGAAAGTGAATTTGATATTTGACAGAAAGTCCACTTGACTGGACGACGGTAGTGACTGGACTTGAGATGGGCTTGACTACAGTCCCCCTTGTTGACGACCTTCGTTCCCCCACCTTGTTCATGGCACTCTGCTTCTTGTTTTCCTTGGCATCGTACAGCACCTCCTGGTACCGGTCCTGGTTATTGTTGATCAGATTGACAAGCATGGCGTTGGGGTTGTGCAGTGCCTTCATGGTGTCAGCAGACACTTGCTTGTCAACGGCTTCGTTTATGGCGATAACGGCAGCATGCACTGTGTATGGGGTGAAAGAAGATGTGTCTTTAGATTCCTGAAGAAACAAAGCCCATTACTAATACTGAATCCTATGTTTTACACAGCTAAACCAAACTATTTGCAACATGTTGGCCAATCACAATGCACGAAATCTGCCAACCCAATACGCACTCGGAAAGGGTCAACAGATTTCACGCATTGTGACTAGCCAGACTCTATTGTGAATCGCTTGCATCACCTGCATTAGAAAAAAAGAGCCCCTCTTCTTTGAGGTTATGCATGTGGTGGTGTGCATTTACGGATAGTTTGGGAACCGAATACCCGATTCTCATAACAGGTGGGTACCCGTAGTCATTGTGAAGATCAGAGTAAAATGCAGAAGTAAAATTTTTCCAACTCGTCCATGCCCACACTTTACTACAAAGCTGCTGTTGGCAGTGGGCATTGTCGGTATTAAACAGAGGGCATCTCTTTCCTGCAGTGTCACAATAATGTCAACGTTATCATCTCCAATGTAGGAAACGGGGAATTGTTGGTACACAGTCTCAACAGATGTTAAAAAGATGATTTTGTCCCCAATAGTTTTCCTGCAAGTAATCAATAGAAAAAAGGGTACATGCCTTTCTAAAATGCTGGATCCAAATTTCACCATGGGTAGTTTCGGGTGATTAAGTTTGACTATATCCAGCAAGAAATGAGACCGAGGGGTACCCCCCCCCACATGTCCAATTGCTATGCACACTCTAGACTATTGTTACCCAACACATCCCCCCCTAGATGTCTGAAAACAATTCCTCAGATTCCAGTGAAAATACGACCAACACAAAGCAGGGGGGTTCTCTCCGTCTCATATCTTGCTTTATACGATTTTTTCTCAAAGAGCTTTTGTTCCACCAGGATACACATAAGTAGATCTTTTTGCTATCCCTCCTTAACAAAAGAAGTTAACAGAAAGATGACTGCCATGCACAACCTCAACATGGTTAAAATATACATGTATGGTACCGGTATATGAACACAATGGTGATCAGTAGGGTCTTTGATGTGACTTAAATCGCATTCGATTACATGGACAAACTGCAGAGGGAAACTTTTGGCACTCCTGTAAATCTGAGAATGCGATAGTCTGTCAACCGTTGTCGCTCAAACAAGATACAGATTTATTTTAGGCATACAGGAATCTCCATCATCACAACGTGACCAGGAAGGCTTCAAAGCATGACGTGTGAAGAAAAACCGGGGGAGTTGGCACCCTCTTAATGCAATAAAGAGGCATGAGTCAAATGCATACCGCTACCTTAGTTTCAAACCTCTCCAAAATGTTTTGTTGTGATTCAGTGCCCTAGTCCAAGTGCATCTAAACATTTGGATGGCAAAGGAAGGCGAGGGGATTTAGGGAACAGGGCAAGATGTTAGCTCAACCAGAGCTCCAATCTTTTAGCACCCAGGCTGGCTGCGAGAGTACCACGCAGCCTTCCCTGTCAGTGATGCTGAGGACGGACAAGCACACCTCGAGGAAAATAAATGAGATGACCTAGACTCGGTGAGAGGGGGAGGAAATTGGAGGAAATGAAGCCTGTTGACTACCTCACCTCAAGTTGACTGAGAATCAACCCCACTTTGCAAGCTGGAATAAATATCCGTGTGATTTCCCCCAACCCCACATCAGCATCTTTTTTCATGATTTGAAGCCTCGATGTCAAGCACCGAAAGATCATTTTTACCCAGCATGGACTCGTGCATGAGCAGTCCGATAGCTACAAATATTTAACAAACTGAATAAGAGCAAATATCTATTCAGCGACAATAATAAACAAAAACAAACTTACCTGCAGCATCATCCACAGAAAGCTGTCGAAATTGGAAAAGAGAAGAAAAACACTCTTGTTTAATATTTCAGTGCCATCCCTTACAGGTGTTTTAACCCTCCACATCCACAGCTTTCAAAATACCGGACATGTTTAGGTACCAATACCAGGAAATCTTTCAGCACATGTACTGGTAGGGTGAAGTTTCTAATTCTTGTTCTGGTTCTAGACGGCGTAGATTTACAAGCTGACTATTCCACCCGACTGCATTTAGTGACAGCAATGAACAACTGGCTCTTGATTAAAAATGTCATCAAACAAAATATATAGTCAAACTGACTACCGGTAGGTGCTTATGGAGTAATCATTAAGATGAACAAAGCCACTGACTGGAGTGGGATTTGAACCTGCAACCTCCATCTCTGTTCATCTTGAAATTACAAAAACCACATGTTGTAACAAAGAGTCACAACATATCAGATGGCCGACTTTACTCAAATTGAAAAAAACCATTTGCAAACAACTGTCTGCATTTCCTTGGTTCCTGTCACAAAGACATTACCAATGCATACATTGATACAAATGCATATTGGTAAGCAGCGGTGCCCTGTACATATTACAACTCCCTTTTTGTTGTAAATTTGTTCGCTGAAGATGAAGGGATGAGTAATACCCTGAGAGTGCTGGGCTGACAAAACAGTTACGGGATATCACAAGCATGGATGGCAGCCATGGATATGACAGTGGAAAGCATCCCTTGGCAAGGCAATTGCTTCTCCCTGTGACCGATGATTACTAAAACTTGGGGGGAGGGCCCAGAATTTGTGTAACTGTTCGCTTGGTTGCTCACTAGGTCCTGAGGGTTGCCAAAGGCGGTGCAATGTAGCTGCGCCTTGCTCTGCAGGGAGTCGAAGTGGGGGGGGGGAAAGGGATAAATTAGCCCACTGGCAAGGGCTAATAATGTTGATAGCTCTCTGATCTTTTCATTACAGACGCCGCATGCACAAGGTGTTACAGTACTTGCTCCATTACCTCATTGGCCAAGATTCCTCCGATCTTGCCGAATGCCGGCATGGTGATTCCGTATTTATCCAGCTCCTGCTGCATGGCACTGATCTCTTCCTCTACTCAGGAAAGCACAGGGAAAACATCAGAAGCAGTTTAGGAAACCTAATTAAATTTGGGAATTGACAACCTATCTCCATTCTGTTACTATTTTATTTAAAGTAAGAAAAAAGAGTTTGGCATGTGCGCAATGCATTTTTTTGACATGGTATGGGAAGTCTTAAATACCCCAAGGGCTAAAATATATTCTTAGCCACAGTAATTGCACCTTGATCCATAGGAGAACTACTTCTCATTTTTATCAATGACAATCCTGACACCCGAAACTGTTTGATGATTCAAGACAGCTAGGATTAATATATGCAACTTGGACCTGGGTAAAAGTGGCTGGCAACCAATTCTCATTTTTATGTTTAATCTTTTTTTCACTGGAGAAAAGTAGGTATTAAATCCAAAAACAAAACTGCCATTTTGAATTTTCACAGAGCAACTTTTGCTCATTTTTACAGGAAAACGCTCTGTATTGTTCTTCATCTTTTTTTGGTAAATAAAGCAGTCTAAATTAAACTTGCTTGTTTAGAAGAAAATGGGAAACCATTCATTTTTCAGGGTCTTTATGCATGTGAATTTGTCTGTTTTTTCCCTGAAGCAAAACACATAAACTGCAGTCGTGTTACCCGGTTTACAGAATCTGCTTGAACTACACCGTTTATACATGTTGGAGCAAAAGGAATCCTGTGGAGTCTCCTGCATGGTTGGAGCTGGTTCAAGAGACAGCTTGCTGCATTGCTACCGTATTTCTGGTCACGCCCCTTTCTAGGACACAATTTTCAGTGTCCAGCATAGTTGGAGCTAGTTTCAAGAGACAGCTTACTGCACTGCTACCGGTACTTCTGGTCATGCCTCTTTCTCGGACAAAATTTTCCACTCAATACCTAGGGGCTAGGTTTGATCGAGACTGTCATGGAACATTAACTTTGATGTGATGTACAGTACACATAAAACCTGAGCACAGCCTCACAAAGTCTTTCATATACACACAATGAATACTTAGGGACTATCAAGGACAAGTATTTGTTGTTTCTGATCAACTGGGGAATTTCTGAGTCATGTTCATGCAAAGAGAAAATAAAACGGTCACACGTAACTTTCGCATCACAAACATGACACATAGCGGTACATGTAAGTAAGGGTCCCTCAAACAAAGTTCCCATGTGTATAAAGGGTTTATCACATGGTCTTGTGAGCTCAAGGTTTCTAAGCATGACTAAACACAACTGGCCCAGTATCAATGCCAAGGGATTGCCCCTGATACATTACAACATATTTCCGGATGGCTGGTTTTTTTTTCCCCTATTAAATGCCAGTGCTAAAGTTCGCGGCTCCGGCCCCAAACTTCATGCCCGGCTGGGGCAGGCTTAGGTGACAGCGGATGTGCCCGGCACAGGTGCAATGGTGAAACCAAATACGAGGTGGTGCCAAAAAACAATGAATATCATTAGCTGGACCCTCAAACCAAGCTAAAAGCAAAGGCCACAATCTCTGCTTCAACCAATTGTCTAACGAGATTGAGTGTGCTCTATCTGTCATCATTCTGCGTCGGGTTACATTCGGAATTACCTAGCTAATGCCTATGTGTGAATATGCACTGTGAGGAAATTACAACATGGCTACTAGTATCAGTAAGCAGTACGTGTCTATCTTGTACAACCAAATAGCAGGAAAAATCTTGCTTACAAAAACAGGTTAGGATAGAAAAGTTGCTCAAGCTGCCACGTACACTACTGAGAAGGAATGTTTGAAGCCATCATTTCATTTTGCAATGCTGTATCATCAAGAGGGTTTGTAAGTTAAAAGAAGTTGATGAAAACATACATGTAATCTGATTATCTGAGTGACACATTGCAGACCAGCACTGTGAACAATGGAAATCAATAGGTATGACCAAATCGTCTTTGTTGCGACACTCAAGCATCAGGATCTTAGAAAGAGTACAACAAAAATACATGTGCGGACTCTTTGAATATTCACTCAGGTAAATGAATTCTCATGACAGATTTGAGGGATTAATTGGAAATTCACGTTGTTACTATGAAATAATTGGGCCTTTTTTCCACTTCAATGCAAATGGTAAAATAAAACCATTAAAGACTGCATGTTTATCTTCAAAGAATTGAAGTGCACACAGTTCTACCAGTAGTTCTTCACAACTGTGACTATGCCCCTGGAACGCCCTTATCAAACGAACTGGAGAAGATCAATTTACCAGTGAAGTCCACTTTGCCATACAAGCTCTCGATCTGTGGTGCAATGCCCAGCTTGAACAGGTACAAGCTGTACAGGGAAATGGAAGATGGTGCCAACATAAGAAATCCACGAGGTATCGCACAGTAGGTTCCTTGCAAGAAAAACTTCACATTTCAATTTTTATTTTCTTCCCTGGCATACACAGACTGGCATACATTTATCCAGTTTTTACTGACAAAAAAAGTCATTAGTTCATTCTGAAACTTTAAACTGATACAGCTGATTACACCAATCCGTTATTATGATCAACTTTGTTTTTAAGGATGTCCAAAAATGAATTGTTTCTGACGGATTCTGTTGATTTTGGCAGAATGTCCAGAGAAAATCTGAAGGGGTTTCAGGAAGAATTATAAAACTAGCAACTGATATATACAGTATGTGCGTACACATACAGTATATACATGTATATATGGTACATGGACGATGACACGTCTTTCAGCATCAATAAAGTGATAGTACCACACTTGGGGCAGTCGGGTTGACAGAGTAACAGCACAAGTACTTCTTTCCATGCCTTCCACCTTTGCAGCCCGGGTTCGATTCCCGGCTCGGTGCACATGTGGATTTGGTTTTCAGTCCCCACCTGATTCTGTGGGTTTTACCCAGAAATTTCTTCCCTAGGGTTTATCTCCCAACTATAAAACTGTAACTGCTTCTTATTGTCTCCTCTCTACAAATGTGGGTGGATGTGGGTCGTTTGAGGGCCGCCTGAGATGCCCTTGTATGCAATCAGCTTGACCAGTTGACCACGCTTAATGTCTTCCTTGTACAGCACATTTGAATGCACATTATAAATGAATATTAAATTATTATGTGGCCACGTGGATGGTTAAGGATAACTGAGCGTACCATTTCAATACATACATGTACATGTACAGTGTATGGCAGAGGAACTACATGTAGAAGCAACAAATCTTACAGTACATATTCCGTCATTAGAATCATGCCGCACTAACCTGAGGGCGTGGAGGCAGTAGACTGTTTTCGGCATGTTCTTCTTGTCATACACATCCGTGGTCTCAGGGTAAAAAATCTGCACAATTTTGAAATAACAGAAGAGGATCATCTCAGTTAGTGATCACTGTTGGTATTGTAGTATTACTCTGAAATGAAAACGAAACCTCAATTCATCCAGCGATAATGAAGCCTGGGATAAAAGATTCACTGGGACTTTTAGATGTAAAACCGATAACAGCTTAGGGAAGTGGTGTTCAGAAATTGATTAGCACTGGCTGATTCAGTCATATCTCGAAAACAAAATGTCAGAATTTGCAGGCAATAAACCAATATAATGGCACAAGACAGTAAGATCAAAAAGCACACATGTACATGCAGGATAGTCTGCAAATATGGACACTGTAGACTTGTTGTTTTATGTTGCATTTTAATACAAAATATTTGTTCTGGTACATGTGCAATACTGAAATTAAATGATCTGTTCTCTCTCCTTTCTCTTCCCCTTCCCTCCTGAAAATCCCCAGAAGTACATGTACACTGTACACTCCCACACTGCACACACTGTACATATAAATGTACTTGTACCCAGGTGAAAGGATCCCACAAAATGAGCCCTAGGGCTATTTTTCAGTAAAAATGTTTTCACTTCAATAGAAAACTGGCTTCTCTGTTCTGATGTACCGGTATCACTCGACATTCGGGGATGAAAAAAAAATATGGGAGAGGGGATAAAATGCTGAATGTTCCTATCGATTTCACAGTTCCAGATGGTACAGTATGGCATATGTGTGTACAGCCTCTACATGTGCACATGGTACTGGTAGCGGGTACATGTACCGTACTACCGGGTAGTAACTGAACAACATGGCTTGATAATTTGTGATTCCTTCAGCTACG